TGAGCATGTATATCAAGCTGAATCCATTGTTATACCTGTGATTAACAAAATGAGTAAGTTTTGAAAGTGTATTAATATTTATACGGCAAAGTGAAATGAAACTCTTGATATTGGAAACCATGATATGGAAATTTGTCTGCATGCATATTGAGCATTCAGGTAAAACGTGTATAGCCTTTGTCTTCACCGCCCATGCATAGACCTGTCAACAGAAACAATAACTTGTCTAATTTCTGAAAAATGCATCATCCCATTCTCTGAGTATGAAAAGGTGCATTGACGGTGTACAAAATGAATGCATTCGTGTCCTTATGCAATCTGCACATCTTTCAAACGTATTACACAATGAAGTCAACCCCTCCTTATTTTAGCACTATCAATGCAAGCAGACACGGTGTTTGGTGAAGGGGAAGTGTGTGTCTTTGTTCCCATAATTTGTATTCTAACAATGTTTAGGTTGTAAGACAAATAATCTATTTGTTATTCCTTTATTATAATTCGTTGTGTGCTCCTTTGCTTTTTCCTTTTTCAACTATGATGAAGTCGTTATTTTTTCAGCTGGAGACCTGCAAAGTGTGGAGCTAATTTTTTGGGAGAATATCAATGAAGGACCGCTAAAATGATTTAATATTAGATAAGGAGTTGGACGGATCATATACTTGCCAAAACTTGAACTTTCACTTGTCAATTGTTAATGTATATTTGTTACAAGTCCTTGTCTGATATTATATCATTTCAGAGGTCCTTCATTGATATTCTCCCTAATTTGTTTTGGTGGGACATTGAGTAACTCTGCCAGACTTTTTCATTATTATGAATCTGATATTTAAATAATGCCATAACTTTCTGTTTCATTAGATTGTAGCATAAGCTTTGCTCTAACCCAATCCTCATCTGACATTCTTAGGTGTGAAGATGGGTTTGTTTGTTCATATTACATGCTTAGGTATGAAGAGGGTTTTGATATATCATTATTCTTAGCACAGTTCTGATATCCTAAGGTGTTTTTTATCCTGCCAAAGCTTTAAATAAACTATAAGTAGTGTAGTCAGACTAGGCATTGTTCTAAGAAAGTTGACTGATTGTTTTCATTGCCTACAACATATTCTGTAGAAAAATGATGCAGAATTATACTTTTTTTTATTGTTTCTTGGTTTACATTCTTTATAATTGTAAGCTTATTTAGATTATTTGCTCTCTTGGGAGTACGGATTGCTTATATTAAAGCCATACAAGATATGTATGAGGGGGTAAAAACTAGTATAAGAACTCCTAGTGGTCAAACAAAGGATTTTCCTATAAAGATTGGATTGCATCAGGGATCATCTTTGAGTCCTTATTTGTTCAACTTGATTTTAAATGTTTTGACGAACATATTCAAGAGGAAATCCCGAAATGTATGCTCTTCGCGGATGATATAGTTCTTATAGCAGAGACAAGAGAAGAGATTAATTGCAAACTTGAGTTATGGAGGAGGACATTGGAGTCGAAAGGTTTTCGTCTGAGTAGAAGTAAGACAGAATATTTATATTGTAAATTTGGTAAAGGACTATTCGACAATAATTTGGAAGTGAAATTGGGAGATCAAATTATACCTTAAGTGGAAAAGTTTAGATATTTGGTAGCCATTATTCAAAATGATGGCGAAATCAGTGGAGATATTTCACATAGAATTCAAGCTGGGTGGTTTAATTGGAGAAAAGCTAAAGGAGTTATTTGTGACCGTAAGGTGCCTAATAAACTTAAAGGAAAGTTTTATCGCACTGCTATCAGACCGGCAATGTTATATAGTAGTGAATGCTGGGCTCTAACAGGACAGCAAGAGCATAAAGTTGGAGTAGCAGAGATGAGAATGTTACGATGGATGTGCGGACATACACGTAAAGATAAAATTCGAAATGAGCACGTACGCGAAAAAGTGAGGGTGGCACCTATTGAGGAAAAAATGGTAGAAAATCGGTTGAGATGGTTTGGGCATGTACAAAGAAGATCAAGGGAAGCACCAGTGAGAAGAGTGGAACATATAACTTTGAGTCCGATTAAGAGAGGTAGAGGAAGGCCTAAGAGAACACTCTTGGAAGTTGTTGAACGCGATCTCTTAATTAATAATATTCCTAAAAGCTTGATAAACGATAGAGCACAATGGCGTTTTGCAATCCATGTAGCCGACCCCACCTAGTGGGATAAAGGCTTGTTGTTGTTGATGTTGTTGTTGCTCCCTTGGTAGTTACGGTGAGTGTGATTTGCTATGAGATTTTAATTAATTTAATGCACCATATTTGACTATTATTTAACTAAATTTGTTTTTTTTTTTGTGCATTGCACGAGGGAGTAAATGCTAGATTTGCAGTATTCAAGAAAGAGTTAGAATCAGCTGAGATTGTAGAATCAAGGACTTATTTAATCTTTGCCACCTTGCTACTTTGTGGCCTGTATGTGGTTATAAACAAAAAATTCCTGAGAAGACTGGTAAAAAATATGGAAAAATATGGATATAATTTAAATTTTAGAATCTTTTTTAGGTAATGCACATGATTTTCTTGCTTCTCATCTTTGAACATAAAATAATAATTTGACAACTATAAACAAAATCGTATTTTTTAAAAAAATATGTTTCACATCATGCAGTTCTCGGTAGCTATGTTAATATATTATGGGTCTTTTTTCCCCTCATTTGGTGATTTATTTCTTTTTTCATTACTCTACTATGTAATTTTCTATTTTTATTTACCACTGTTTTCCAAAAAAACTTTTAAAGGTATAGTCTTGAGGGAGCGACGTAATTTTCCGTTTCTCATTCTGTTACTTTTATAGAAGGTTGCCTTAGAATAATAAAGGGCACTAGAAAAGTTCTAAATTATTGAAGGTTATATGCTAGCATTGCCTTATCATTTAGGTTCGACAATTGTTTAAATATTTGTTATAGTTAACACAGACAGCTTTGATCAACACATTGCTCTGTGTTTTTTTGGGCCAAGACCTTTCTGCACGTGATTGCAAGAGAAAAATAAGGCAAGTTATGTGGAAAGTATTAGCAAAATATATATATATATATATATAAAATAGCATTTCTTCATTTATTTCATTATTTGTTACAGGACATTTTTCAATATTTCATTATATGCTTTCCTTTTCAAGCTGCTTCTATGCATGTTTTTCAACTCGAGGTTGTTCTAACATCATTTGTGAACTGACATTGCAGGAATATAAACCATTTATCACTGCTTTCATTTTTATTTAAATATAGGAATACCAATATTAATCATAGACATAATTCTTATAACACCGATTTCAAAAGTCTATTATATTTTTCTGCTATACTTACGCCGACTTCATTATTCTTAAAGTGAAGGCTGGTGATCCAGCTATTATGGCTCTCTGTGTTTGTTCTGTTTAGCCTCCATAAAATATTCTGACTTCTGACTGTTGTAATAGTGTTTCTGTTTTGGATAAATCTAGCTCGAATTATTTAGGCACCTTGCTTTTGGACATTAGTTAACCATTGACTTATCGACTTAAAATCTATCTCAGGCGCGTGAAGTGGAGCAGGATTTAATGATATGCCAGAGGACGAGCAAGCAGAACGGGAAAAGGTCCAAATCTATCGTGCAATTGTTTGGTCTATCACTTTTTCCCACACATGATTTTTCAGCATCAAGCAAAGGTTGTGAAGGAAGAGAACCTCAAATAGGCTTATTTTGTGGCTTCAATTATTTCGAATACCTGTAGCTAGCACGTAGTTGGTATATGTAGTTGATCACTTAAGTTGTCTTTTGCCATTACAATAAATAAAGGTCAAGGTTAAGACAAATAGTGATTAGCTTGTTGGTTAAAAAAAAGATTGATTAGCTTTCAGTTTCAGTTTGCTGGATTCAAGAGCCTTTAATATTTTATCTTATATATCTGAGGTTCTGAATAGTTAACAGACATATGGAATTTTTCTTACATTCTTCTTATGTTCTGGCTTGGAGTAATTTGGCAGTTAAAGCTTTCAACTTTAAACTGAATTTTTATTGTCAGTATCAATTGAATTACGGAATGATTATTCTGCATTATGCCGTGAAGAATTTATTTTTCTGGGTCTGCTTCGTAGGATTCGAGCAAATGATTAATTGCAAAAAAGATCTTCTCAACAAGGACTGAGAGGCAAACAGGCTGGCCATCTGTTGAGTGTTGATGACGACATATCAGAGGAGGGGGGCATGTTTGAAATAATTAGTGGTGCTATGTCTAGAAATATTCTTGCTGCCAAGTGTTCAGTATTTTTGAAATTTTGGTTTATGCTATGTTTAAATTCCCGTTCTTGCTACCTCAACAATTTCATATATGAAAAGGGGCTTTTTTTTTTGTTTTTTGTTTTTTTTGGGGACTAGTGGATTCGTTATGTGATTTTCATTGGTGTAAATATATGATATTTGACGATCATCCAAGTTTCCAAAAATAAGAAAAGAGAAATAAAAACCTTGCGAAGTATAATTCTAGCATTTTAGTTGCAATAAAAACCTCGCAAATAACACGTGTCATACTAATTGCAACGCTTCGTGGCTTCTCATTCCAGAGGTGACATTATATATTCATAAAACTTTAGTCCTTTTTAACAACTTGCTGCCCCTACACGTGCACTAAAAATAACCCCTTTTAACATAGTAATCTGGAAACCCTTATTTTGTTAAATCATTTTCGGTTTCACTCTGCTCCATGCTTATTCTGTGTTTCGTCTGAATCATATCGTCCATGCATTCAACCCACTGAAGAACGACTTAGTCTGATTCTGATCTTAATCAGATTGTGTTTTCCAAATTATTTTCTCCTCTTTGCGCTATAAAATTGCATCTCTGTCTTTTCTTTTTTTATTTTTTTCCTGGGTAAACTGGTTTGTGTTTGTGATTCTTTTCAGTTAAATCAGCGTCATTCACGAATTTTTACTATTATAAAAAAAAATACTTATGTTATTGTCGCAACATAATTAATGCAAGCTATAGATGGGCTATGGACCAATATAACCGACAAAATGAGATATATCATTCTTAACTTTTTATAATACCTATAATAACAAGCAGGAGACGCTCTGTTTTTGGAACCAAAGAACAGGGGTAAACAGAGTCCTTGTATCCTCTCAAGCTTGCTTCTGTCGATCGTCTCAGTTTCCCTGTTTTCCATTCTTCCGTGTTCATCCAAACCATATCTGCAAATGCAAATGAAGAAAATAAGCAATTTCACACAGGGTCCTAGAGTCCGGAGACAATCCTCACCTTGATTTGCTTTGATTTGTGGTAACTCAAATTCAAGACCCATTTTTGTACGTAGAATCCAACAATCCAACCATTCGATACATACTTAATGTCATAATCATAAGAACAAGGTCAGCAAATTATACAAACCACAACACACACATATATATAAATAGTTTCATCGTCTTTGAAAAAAGAGACCTAAATATTAAACCAAACCCAACCCCCACCATCCCAAGTCAGCTTCAGAAACTCACACTGCTGTTCAACCTGCAACACGAAAAGAGAAGAATAAATATTGTGAACAATGATAGTAACAGAAATATATATTCAGAAGTCAAACCTTGACGCCCGAGGGTGGAGGGATCGGTTGACTGCGTGTAAAACCAGCGCTTCGTTGCCGTCTCCAGTGGCAGTTTCCTCTGGCACGTCGGACGATGGTAGTCTTGGGACAATCTGTCCAACAGACAGTTCTTATGGAACCTCTTGTGGAGGCACTGAGGGATTGAAAAAACTGAAGACCCGACATCTATTTGTACGTGGCATATTTCACAGGTTTCATTCTGAGGGAAGGAATCTTTGATCAGTTGCAATATGAAGTCCTGGGTAACACATGTGGGAAGTTTTCCTTCAGAGTCTAGCTTGTTAACTTGTTCAGAGGTAAGAGGATCTTTCGAGTAGTAGGTCTCTTTCCCACAGTTGGGACACAAGAAGTGAGCAGAAGAAGCTGTAATTCGTGGCCATTGTAATGAAAAGAGAATTGATAACAAAGAAGAGAGACGAATTGCTTTAAATAACATTCTGGGGAGTGGTTGAGACGATCGACTCCCATGACCATTTCAAACAATTGTGATTTGATTCTGAATCTTAGTACTGCATGCAGATCCCATATCATAACCATTTCACATGCGTATGAAGACGATGCTCTTTCACTTTAACGGTTTCCTCGAGTCTGGATCATTTTGCCACCAGTTCTGCACTCTGAAGGGACTGGAATAGCCATGATGACAATACTAGTTTCAAACATATGAAACACACACAAGGTTTAAAGACCGGGTCTATTTTTATTGGACTCAAAAACCCAAATCTCTTAAAAAAAAAAAAAAATACTTGGTCTGAAAAGCAGTGCTTCTACCGACGGCCCTCACAAAAATATCATATCATAATTTTGAAGTAATTAAATAATAATTTATTTTTTGTAAAATAAATATTCACAAAATATTATAAAATCAAAAAATAATTTAATAATAATCTCTGTGTATTAATGTAACCAGAGAAATTAATGACTTCTCTAATCTCTATAGAAAACATCTAAGACATTTTTTTATAATTTTTAAATTATCTAAAAATAATTTATTTTTAAATTTTAAACAAATGGACCCAATATTGACCTGTAATATTGTGTCATTGTCAAGTGTTAAGATATATAAGCCTGTTTATGACAATCAAATCATCGTACTTGCAATGATACTGTTGTCAATAATTCAGTACATTTGGAAATATTTCTTATACTTTATTAGCTAGCAATCTATGACATGGATTCATTCATAAATTTGTCATTTTGTCTCCTTCACAGGGTTGAAAAGCTACTAACGTAGAACATTAAAAGCAGAATGATAGTCCTCCCAGCAAATTGAATCTTGGCAAGCTGTAAGAGAGTCTTTTTTTTTTTTTGAACTCACTATTGTGGCAAAAAAAAAAAGAACTCATTAATAAATCATCAAGAAAACAAATTGTGCCCCATATAGGCCAAAATATTACAAATAGTGCCCCATATGGGCCAAAATATACTGTAGTTTCTTTCATTTCGGAAGTCCAACTTAATTTTCCACTTAGAATTGCTACCATGCATCAACTGATGAGAAGATAAAATTAGTTTACAAACTTTCGTTAACAGACATCCTTGAACGGTTAAGTGTCCAGGGAATCACAGATTTCCAGACGTACATTGAGACATTTATTTGTAGTTTTATTGGTTTCTTTTATTTTTTGAAATTCTCTTGTAAATTTTTTCAAGTCAATGAATGATCAAAGATATTTTGAAAAGGAACAAACAGTGAAACCATAAAAAGATAAGAGAAGTGTTTGGATGCAATTTCGTTGGAGTTGTTGCATAACTCGAACCAGATCTAATAAGACAGGAAAACACAACAAAACACAGTTTAGACAAAATTGAAAGTAAAACCAAAAACAAAATCCAAGATGCTTCACGATCTTGATATAGCAAAGGAACCAAAGAACATGCATCCCTATAACTATAGCTCAAACACTACAAGTTGCACAGCCCGGTAAAAACTTTTTGGGATCCACTCAAAGCAACAAATGCTTAGTGTATGACTGAGCAAGGTACAAGATAAAATTCACAATGGTTGTGTAATGAGAAGGAGCCCCATGTTTAACAACCTCATCCAAAGGGACGGATTCAGGTATCAACAGAACAAAAACAACATCAAACCTTTGCATTAGCAGTAATGAAACAAAAACAGAATAGGAGGAACAGAACGAAAGTTGCTGGATCATTTTCATTGATGATTAATCTATGTACAGTGCTCACTATTTATAGATAGTTGTAGCCAATACAAAAATGATAGATGTGAAAATAGGGAACAATCTAGAATACTACTCTGCTTGTACTTCTCACGTGATCTGATTTGAGTAGGAATTATATGCTTTAACAGCCCCCCGCGAGGCAAACTGTGAGGGAAGAACAGTGAGACTCGATCTGAGTGTAGCAAATCGAGAAGATGGAAGTGGTTTGGTAAGTATGTCAGCTAATTGATCTCTAGAGGATACATGAAGCACATTGAGTAATTTGGCAGCTAATCTTTCCCGAAGAAAATGGTAGTCAAGGGCAATATGCTTGGCCCGGGAGTGGAAAACTGGATTGGCAACCAGATATGTGGCACCAAGATTGTCACAATAAAGGAAGGGTGCTTGAGGGAAAAAAAACACCAAGTTCATGAAGTAAGTTTTGTAACCAAATTAATTCACTGGTGGTTGTGGCAATTGCTTTATATTCAGCTTCAGTGCTTGATCTGGCAACAGTGGGTTGCTTCTTTGAACTCCAAGCAATTAAATTTGGTCCACAAAAGATAGCAAATGCACTTGTGGACCGATGATCATCAATATTACCTCCCCAATCAGCGTCAGAAAATGCAGAAAGAGTAATAAAGGAGGATGGACGAAGATGAAGGGCATAATTAGTGGTGCCACGTAGGTATCTAAGAATTTGCTTGACTGTAGTCCAATGGGTTGTTTTAGGACAGTGCATGAATTGGCAGACACGATTGACGGCAAATGTAATATCGAGTCTTGTAAAACTAAGATACTGAAGACTGCCAACAATACTGCGATATAAAAAAGGGTCAGAAAAATTAAGACTGTCAAAGGTAGAGAGACGAGAGTTGGAGGCCATGGGAGTGGACACAGGACGAGCATTGGCCATTTTAGACCGATGAAGAATATCCATAATGTATTTATGCTGAGATAGAACAAGACCAGAGGTCGAGGATAATACTTCAATACCCAAAAATTAGTGTAGAGGTCCAAGATCTTTGACAAGAAATGATTGGCCTAAGGCAGTGATGAGAAGTCGAATAGTTTCAGGGGAAGAGCCAGTGATTAGGATATCATCAACATAGACTAAAACAAAGATTGTGCATCTGGAATTTTTACATATGAATAAGGAAGAATTAGATTTGGAAACAAAAAAACCCAGTTCCATCAACCGAGAAGCTAAGCGAGCAAACTAAGCACGTGGAGCTTGTTTTAAACCATAAAGTGCTCGATTTAATTTGCAAACATGAGTAGGAAACTTGGGATTAACAAAGCCTGGAGGTTGAATCATATAAACAGTTTCATCAAGAAAGCCATGTAGGAAAGCATTTTGAACATCAATTTGCCTTATAGACTAGCCACGAGATACAGCAAGAGAAAGAATGATACGTACAGTGACGGGTTTCACAACAGGGGAGAAGGTGTCGGAGAAATCGATGCCGGGTTGTTGGTGGAAGCCTTTGGCAACAAGACGTGCCTTATGCTTTTCAATGGTGCCATTTGCATGATATTTGGTACGGAAGATCTATTTGTAGCCAACTAAATTCATGGAAGGAGAATAGGGGACGAGAGACCAAGTATTGGTGGAGATTAAGGCCTCAAACTCATGAAAGAGAGCATCACGCCATTCTGGAATTTTAAGGGCTGAGGTAACAGAGGTGGGTACAGACGGCGGTGGGCCCGAGGTGCTGTGTGATTGGGGGGGTAGTAGATAAAGTCGGAGGATTGAGGTGCAGGTCTGAAAATATTTGATTTTGATCTGGTGACCATGGGATGGAAAGAGGCAGTGGGAGTGGACGACTATGCTGCCGTCACTGGTGTGTCAAAAGGAGATGAGGAGGAAGGCGATGAAGATAAGGATGAAGACAAAGGTGCAGAGGCAGCAAAAGGGTTAGCAGGAGATGGGGAAGGTGGATTAGGATTAAGTAAGTGGGTTAGGCTGGAGCTATTGGGCTGAAAATAAGCAAAAGGTAGTGTGGTATGTGAGGTAAGAGTGGGTTGGGCTGGCAAGGAATTATTAGAGAAAGGAAATTGGGTTTCATCAAAGACAACATCCCTGGAGGTATAGATACGGCCAGAAGGTATATGAAGGCAAAGATAACCTAAATGAAAAGGTGCATACCCAAGAAAAACACATATGGCAGATCTGGGCTCAAGTTTAGTATGGGTATAGGGTCTTAAATTAGGCCAACATGCTGATCCAAAAATTTTTAAAATGTGATAATTGGGTGGTTTATTAAAAAGGACTTCAAAAGGACTTCGACCCTGGAGAGTGTGTGTGGGTATTTGATTAAAAAGGAAGGCAGCAGTACTGAAAGCAAAGGACCAGTATTGTTGAGGAATGTATGCATGATGCATTAATGCAAGACCTGCTTTAATAATGGTGCGGTGATGTTGTTCAACAGAATTGTTTTGAGCGTGAGTGTGAGGGTAGGTAATGCGATGAAGGATACCCATGGTTAATAAATCTTTATGCAAATTGTGAAATTCTCCTCCCCAATCAGATTGGAAGGAACGAAGTTTGGAATTAAAATGAGTGATGACAAGTTGGTAAAACTGGTGGAAAACAAATTTTAATTCATCTTTAGTGTGGATAGGATAAAACCACATAAATTTAGAGAAGTCATCAACAAAACATACATAATACCGGAAGCCATTAATAGAGATAGGGGGGATGGACTCCATACATCACAAAAGACTAATTCAAAAGGAAAAGTAGAATGACTAGGAGAGAGAGGAGATGGTAGACGATGACTTTTGGAGGACCGACAAGCAGAACACTGATGAGATAACTTTGTAGTGGTGATAGGGAGAGAGTGGTGCTGCAAAACATGATGGACAGTATGGAAAGCTGGATGGCCCAAACATTGATGTCAGTGAAGAAGAGATGTGCGAGTACCAAAATGAGCTTGTGGTGACACAGAAGAAGGAAGCGGATATAGCCTATTGTGACTGGGCCCTTGAAGAAGAATGGTCCCTGTTTGCTCGTCCTTCACACAAAAAAAAGAGGAGTGAAATTCAAAGAATATATTATTATCTTCATAAAATTTATTGACACACATGAGATTTTTTGTAAGAGAAGGAACATGTAAAGAGTCAGAGAGAAGAAAATTGCCAGAAGGATGGGTAAAAGATCGGTGCCCTGATTTTGAATAGGCATAGGAAAACCGTCACTAACTCGAACAGAGTCAGACCCATAATATGGTTCAGAGGTGATATTAAGTTTAGAGAGATCATTTGTCATGTGATGAGTTGCACCAGTGTCGGGATACCAAAGAGAGTCATTGAGAGACGAATGTTCAGAGTAATGAGCAGCAAGAGATGGTGAGGGAGGTGCTTGCACAGCTTGGTTGTACCGTTGAAAACACACAAGAGCTTTATGGCCATATTTTTCACATATTTGGCAGGAAGGGTCAGATTCAGGTTGGAAAACAGAGTAAGGTGAACAACCTCCTCTGTAAAAATGACCACGACCTCTGAAGATGTTTCCTCGATTATTATGACCTCGTTGAAAGTAGTTAGACCGACCCCCTCGACTTCTACGAAAAGAAGAGGAGGAAGCATTAAAGGAGGTCTTCTGAACAGCATTGGCCGAGAGTTCAATGGGAAGTTGTATGGAGTTCTCTTGGTTCAAGCGTGCTTCATGTGTGAGGAGATGACTTAGAATTTCTTCAATATTGAGGAAGTGTCGTTGAGTGGTTAAGGAGGTAACTATACTGGTGAAGTCTGGGCCTAGACCTGCAAGAAAATAAGTTATAAAATCATCATCAGGTACAGGTTTTCCAGCAGCCGCAAGGGAGTCAGCTAAGATAGTAGCTCGTCTATGATACTCAGAGATGGTTTCTCCTTCCTTTTTGATGGTAGTAATTTGTTGGTGAAGAAAAATAAGTTTGGATTGAGTTTGTTGAGAAATAATATTTCTAATGCTGTCCACATAGCTCGAGAGGTTTTATGGCGAAGAACTTGTGGGATGAGTTTTTTCAGAAAGAGAGGCAATAAGAACTGAGAGGACAAGTTGGTCTTGCTGGAACCAAAGAAGATAGTCTTTGTTAGGAAGACCAGAAGAAGTTCTTGGTGATGGAGGAGGTATGGAACCATCGATATATCCAAATAACTGTTGACCATACAGATAAGGAAGAAGCTGAGCTCGCCATATGAGGTAGTTGTCTTCAGTGAGTCGAACTGTGACAAATGGTGAAGCTGTGATGGTGGTGCAGAGAGTGGAGTGATGATGCCAGAAGGTGGTGGGGTGGAAGGGATAGAGGTGGTAGATGATAATGGTGGTGTGTGTGGGGTAGTCATGATGAGTGTGGCTCAAGGGCTCTGGTACCATAATGAAACAAAAATAGAATAGGAGGAATAGAATGAAAGTTGCTGAATCATTTTCATTGATGATTAATTTGTGTACAGTGCTCACTATTTATAAATAGTTGTAGCCAATACAAAAATGACAGATGTGAAAATAGGAAACAATCTAGAATACTACTCTGCTTGTGCTTCTCACGTGATATGATTTGAGTAGGAATTATATGCTTTAACAAGCAGAAGCCTGAGACACCTAACCATAGCTACCAAGACATCAAATCAAGCATCTAGTGGAACCCATCTCTTTTCCTCAACAATCATTTGGGCAATTCACTTATTGATCACAGAGAGGCAATCAACCCAAGAAAACTTCCCAATTAAAAAATTGATGGCAGGCACAATTAGACTTCCGACAACTAGAAAAGTGTTACAAAGTTCATCCCCAGTTTCTACTAGCCCACAATCAAAGACAGGGGATAAAACCAAACTATAACCATCAAAATATGCCAAAGAATTACATCAAGCCAAGGCATTCAAAACAAGAGTGTGAATAGATATAAGAGAACGATAAGGATTCTAAAATCTACCATCATAAACTAAGACCCAACTTGTCCTTGCCTCAATTTCAAAGTTTCTATCATAGCCTCTACTAAAATTTTTGGCAAGCCTGAACATGCCAAACACAGCCATTGATTTATCCCTAAACACGCCAAGCTAATGCTTGGATCCAAGCCTTGTCTTTACTTATGTTCACTAAGACTCCCCATCCACTTGAATTGTTACTATGAACTGAGATAGTATAAGGGGTATAAAAACTTTGGTTAATGGGAATCCTTGAACGGTTAATTAAATGATCGGGAATCACACATTTTTAGATGGCGAGGTATTTACTTATAATTTTTGGGTTTTTTTTATCAATTTTTTCAATCAACCAACATCAATCTTATTTGAAAGGAAGAACAGAGAATGGAACCATAAAAGAAATAAAGAGGTAGTGTTTGGATGAAGATTATTGAAAGAAGAGAAGCAAAACAATAGAAGAGGAAGCAGTGTCATCGAGAGTGAGTTTAAATAATCGATACGTATTACAATGGAGATAAAAGTTAAAGAAACTTACGTACATATTTTAAAAAGAAAATTAATTATATGGATATAATCGGGTGGGAAGTTAGATGATGGGGTGGGAAGTTGAGAAAGTAACGTAGAAAATTTGATAATTTAATATTTGAGCATTTGAATACTTCATTAATTAAGAATCTGTATAATAAAACAAATTTTAAACTTTCATAACATAGGGCATGGCTTGACTGGAATTTAGCTTGGCGATAAATGAGGATGAAAATTAAAAATGAGGAGTTGAGCCACAAATGATCAAGTTATAATATTAAGGAGGAAGTTAAGAGATATTCGGAGAATTTTAGATTTTGAAAATTGTGTGTATTGTGTGTGTGTGTGTGTGTGTATCGTCTAGGCTTATTTGTTCATTTATAATCAAACTTTACAACGCTTGAAGCATTCTAGATTTATAGTCGGAGGTTGACGGAGAAGGCGATTCATTAAGGTTCGTTGATCATTCTCCTACATCTACCAACGTAATGATCCTTTTTGCTCTAATAATACATTACAATCTATGTTTGAACTTTTTCCTCACAAATAGCTCATTCTTTTCTTGCACTTTCATTGATTGATTTTATTTATTGATTCTCATGGTTGGCTTCACTGTCATTAGGAAAAATTAATTTTTAAATGTAATTTGTCTCTATCATTTATGTTGTTCCTATACTCAGTGTATATTTCTTCATCCACAGGTTAGCTATAAAGAGATGGACATTCTTCCTAGTCAAGAAAGGAAATTGCCCAAGAAATTATGGGCTCCAATAGATTCAAATGTTGACCTCAATCGAGACAAAACATTGATGCAAACCATGGAAAGGTATATAAACAAAATCGAGGGCTCTGAATTTTTTCAAAATTTTCAAGATCAAGCTCAAACTCCACCAATTACTGAACATTTACGTATAGTTTTGGGATCAAAACCAAAGATGAATATGGTAATTTATGGTATTGGCTCTTTTGAAACGAGAGAGAGTAGCAGGATACAGCTAAGTTTTGCAATATTAATGCAAAAATATTTCAAATGGATTGGAAGCATAGAGGTATTTGACCCTCTCCTTTCTACAACAGAATGTCGGATTTTGGAAGCTCTTGGTTGTTCAGTCTTATCTTTTAATGAGCATGGAAGAAGGCTAGCCCTAAATCCAACTATATTCTTTATGCCATTTTGTCCCAAAAAGTTATACGAAAACCTCTTGGAGACAAATTGGAATCCTAGTCAGTTAAAAAACATTGTCATAGTTGGGAATAGTTTTATGTTGTTTGAGTATTATTGGGAACGATACAAATTTGATACTTCAAAATTGAAGCATATGTTGGCGGTCCAAAAATTTACATATGAAGTTACCATTAAAAAAATGCCCCCTGCCTATTTTAACACTCCAAAAGAATTAAGTTGGCGTGATATATGTGACGCTTTTTGTGGTATAAATTGGCATTTTTTTGGCTTTAATATGTGCATAGCTGGATCCATGGCTAACAAAAAATGAGAAATGTGTATCTTGTGCTCGAGGTTGACTTTGACTATTTTTTTCCAGCAATTTTCATGTATTATTATATTAATGCATCTTATTTTCTTAATTCAACCTCAAAGTTTACGTGTAATAGTCATGAATTCTTGTGACCACTTTATTGCCTCCCTTATACTTTTGATTTTAATTCCAATCTTCATATTAAATTAAGTAAAATAAGGCAATATAAATAAGGGTTTCGAAAAGCTGATCAATATTGATTGGAACCAAACTGAAAAATCTCACCAAAATTGTCCATAAATAATGTCCGTTTTTGTCTTAAATTTTGTCAAACATAAACTTATGTTCACAAAGA